CTGATACACAGCACAGTGGCACACCAACAGAAGAAGAACTCACAACTTATTGGTCTTCTCTTTGGTCCAATGCTATTGCACACAATGCTGATGCAGGCTGGATCGAGGAGGAGAACAGAAACTTGCATAACATACCAACTACGCGCTGTGCTGAAATAAATGTACATGACATCTGCTACACTGTTAACAGAACACACAACTGGAAGACACCTGGTATAGACAACATTCACAATTTCTGGTACAAAAAGTTTACATCACTGCACCAGGAATTAGCTAAACATCTAACACACATCATCATCAATCCACAAGACTTGCCAAAATTTCTTACTCAGGGCATCACCTACGTGAAACCTAAAAGCACCACCACCACAGACCCCACACAATACAGACCAATTACATGTCTTCCAACACTACAAATTATTGATATCCTGTATCACAAACAAAATATACAAACATGTTGAAGAGCACGACATTCTTACAGAACAACAAAAAGGTTGCTGTAGAAATCACAGGGGATGCAAAGAACAGTTACTCATAGATTCAGTCATTCCACAGCAAGTACTCAAACAACACAGAAACATACACACGGCATATATAGACTGTTGTATAAAAAAATGTTGTTGTTGTGATGATGGTGGTATGAAATGTTCCCATTTACGCGGTCTAAAAGAACACAATACACACTTCCTTTGTAACAATAACAATACAATGACACTTTAATGTCTCCAAATCAGCGAGTGACTCTCTGGCACTCCACAATCGAGCAACACTCAGGCACCCGACAATTATTGGTAATTACAATACTGGTTCTTGACCAGCCACACAGCTACCCACCCTGGTTAGCTCCCTGATCAGTACTGCCGTCAGCACTCCTCTCAGCACTGCCCCCCACACACTCTGACTTGATATACACCCCAAAGGGAAGCCCACAAATTTTCCCTCTCTAGGCGGGACAATCTCCCACACATTCTTGGGGATAATGTTACCTCACCCACCTGACATGTGTGACAAGCTGTGGACTGTCCTCACCACTTGCTGACATCCACACACCTGACACATGTTACAACTGAACTTAACATAGACTACAGAAAAGCATTTGACAGTGTCCCACACAGCTGCTACATATTCTACACATGTACAAAATACATCCATCACTCATTGCATTCTTCCAAAATACATCCATCACTCATTGCATTCTTCCAAAACACTATGCAGCACTGGAGAACAACACTACATCTCAGGGTTAGTAACACTTCCATACAAACGAGATATTCATTAGGCGAGGAATTTTTCAAGGAGATTCGTTGAGTCCTCTCTGGTTCTGCCTAGCCCTGAACCCATTATCCAACATGTTAAACAACACGCAATATGGCTACAATATCAGACATGAAAAAACAGCACAGTTTACACTGTCACATCTCATGTACATGGATGACATAAAACTTTATGCATCCACACAGAAACAACTTCATCAACTCCTACAAATCACACACTCATACACACTCATACACTAAGGACATACAAATGGAGTTTGGCTTAGACAAATGCAAAAAACTTCACATAGAAAAAGGAATCCTGAAGAAAGAAGATTTTGCACTTGGAAATGGGAACATTATTGAATCCATGGAAGAGGGCAAGTTCTACAAGTATTTAGGATTCCAACAGGCCAAACTAACAGAACATACACAAATAAAGCAAAGATTAATTAAAGAATACCATAGTAGGTTAAATGCCATTCTCAAAACACAGCTAAATGCAAAACACACAGTTAAAGCAATAAACACATATGTTGTCCCAGTACTCACATACTCTTTTAGAGTTATACATTGGACTCACACAGATCTCGAGCAACTCCAAAGAAAAACAAGAGCAACACTTACTAAGCATAAACATCATCATCCTAAATCCGCCACAGAAAGATTAACCCTTCCACGTAAAGACGTGGCCTGATTGACATAGTTAACCCTCACTACAAGCAAATACAGTCACTGCAAGAGTTTTTCTATAGGAAACAAGAAACATCACAATTACATAAAGTAGTAACTCTAGCAGACTCAAGTAGCACACTATTAAACTTACACTCACATCATACAGACATGACACAACACATAAAAAGTATAGACACCATCAAGCAATCGTGGGCTCGAAAGGCACTCCATGGCAGGCATCCTTATGACCTGGCCCAGGATTTCGTTGACAAAACTGCAACAAACAGCTTGTTAGATCAGGGATGCCTCTTTGGGGAGACAGAAGGATTCATGATCGCCATACAGGATCAGGTCATAAATACTAAAAACTACACAAAACACATACTCAAAGATACAACAGTCACAAATGACACACGCAGAAAATGTCACATCATGCCAGAAACTATGTAACACATTACTTATGGTTGCGAACTCTTGGTACAGACATAATTTACATCGACATAATCAAGTAGCAAATACATCAAGAGCTTGCAAAGAAACAAAAATTGGTAGACATCCACGAACCATACTACAAATATGTTCAACAGACAGTATTGGAAAACAACACGCACAAAATGCACTATGACAGTCATAATCACAGATAAAACAATTTACCACAACAGACCAGACATTACATTCATTGACAAACACAATAAAATCACATACATTATAGATATATCCGTTCCAAACACTCAACATACAAAACACATAAAGTGAAAAAATCAGCAAGTACACGGAACTTGCCCAGGAAATAAGGCATCTTTGGAGGATGGATAGGAGTGCTTATTGAACTTGTTGTTCTCTCCTCTACAGGTATCATACCACAAACATTACACAAAAGCCTGGGAATATTACAATTGAATAGAAATACATAAATCACACTACAGAAGGCCACTATATTGAATACATGCCATATTATTAGGAAATTCCTGAATACAGACACTGACACACTTATTTAATTTTAGTTTTGTTTTGGTTGCTATGCCTTGATCCTGGTCCGGCATAGTACACAGCCACCGGTGTGAACCGAGTATAACCCACTAAACTCAACATAATAATAATGTAAATAAACTGCAGATAAACAGCATGTGTCTGGTGAGAATATCACAGGTTGCCAGAAAGGTTTCATAAAAGTAAAGCAGAGTCCCTTGAAATATAGTCCAAATTATTTTTAAAGTGGCCCAAAAAGTAGTAACTTTTCAATATTTATTTTTTAATTCTGTTATTGCTTATAAAAATGTATAACAATATTCTTCTTCATCTTTGCCTTTTCCCATGTTCGTATGGGGTTGGCATTTCCTTCTCTAATACATTTCCTCCATTTCTTCTTATCAAGGGCATCTTCTCTCTTGAATCAGGAAGGGACTTAAGTCTTCCTCCACCTTATTTTTCCAATGCAGCCTTGGTTTTCCTCTCACTACCAGTTTTCCAACCCTTTTTCTAACATAATCTTCACTACTTTGCTCTACTCAGCCAAACCACCTCAATCCACATTCTTGTATCTTCCTGCTCAAGGGACCCTACCTTAACAGAACTTCTAATACACTTGTTCCTTAAGCCGTGGTCACACCATGCGATTTCCAGCCACACAGGCAACCGCAATTGCAACAAGCACAAGTCACGCACATCTTCTCGTGGTCACACATTGGGTATGTTCGTAAAGTCAAACAAGTTAAACGCGTTAGTAACGAATCGTTCAAATAGTAGTAGTCTCGTTCAGTGTGCATGCACTGCGGTGATGATGTTTCAAACAAAACTCTAACGAAGTTCACAAAGGAGAGTTAGTTCACAAAGGAGAGTTAAGAAAATGGCAGCCGACGATATCGATGTTTCTAAATCTACTTGAGTGTCTAAACTGTGAATTAAAAAGTGAAATAATAGAAATAACTGTCCACCCGAAGCAATCTAAGAAAAATATTTCGGATAAGGCTATACTAGCAACATTCATATCTTTGATTTTAGAAACAGCCATTTAGTTATAAACGAATCGTTCGAAAAGTCTAATGAAATAAGAATAACGATGACGTTACTCTCATTTAACTCGTTCAACTTTATGAACGTACCCATTGTTTGCTGGTGTTGCAACTCAAACACATAACCCTATAATAAACCAATAAAATTACAGTAGCTTGTTTTAGACTTCTTTCGTGAGTTTAGCTATATTAAAAACAATATTGTCGTTACCAAACTAAAAACAATCAGCATTTTATATCCAGAAATCTAAAGATGGTACTTACAATCAATGTTGAGATTTTTACTTATCTCTCGCCATGCCTGCACTCTTTTATCCTTTCTTTGATAAAACAAAGAATTAAAATCCTACAGGCATTCATGAGACTGAATTAGCTTGATTAATCTTGATTTTGTTAAACTATCCATCATCTTGCCTTCCACTATTATTTTCTAACTACATTATTTTCAACGTTGCCACCGTATGACATGGCAAATAGACGTTTGCTGATTGGAGGCGCATTTGCAATTGGCGCAAGTAGAACAAACTTTTTGTTTCCAGTTACGGTTGCAGTCACACTGGTTTTTGAAGAGGTTTACTAGTTAACGAGAACAGCAATCACAGTTGCAGTTGCCTGTGCGACTGGAAATCACATGGTGTGACCACGGCTTTATTCTATCCTTCCTTGACACCACACATCTATCTCAACATTCTCATCTCTGCCTCCTCCGTCTTTCTTTCTTAGATTCTTGGATTGCCCATGTCTCAGACCCATAGAATATAATTATATTAATATTATATATGTATAAATCTCTGGATGTATATACATATACACCCAATTTACATGCAATTTATGAAAAATATAAATTCGTTTATCATTTTATCTTTATAATTATTCGTTAATATAGTAATAGTATTCGTAATAGGTAAAAAAAACTCGTACACTTTTGAAGATCAATATAATTAAAACGTCATTAATTTAATGGCAGTTTTAACGAAATTAAAATGCTATAAAGATTAATTTCTGAATTACGAGTACTCGTACAGTAAATTAAATAATTATATTAAAAATATATATTTACCAAACGAAATAACATATTTTTGATTGATCAAATTCTTAACGCCAGACGTACGAAACTATTTGCGATTCAAATAAGCCGCCCGACGATTAAAAAAAACCAAAAAATGTCTATACGTTATCGTTATATGCGAAAGTATGCCATGTTACAACCTCATAGCCTTGAAACTCTGCAATTGGTTAACTTCGTATCATGTTAATTAAATAGCCAATAAAAACGCTTCTAATATAATTTAATTTTATCGAAACTTATCATTTATAATATTTACTTTCAGATATGTGTTTATTTAATATTAGTAATAATAAATATACATAAATAAAAATGGATATGAATTTAAAAATTAATTATAGATATAGATAAATATATGAGATGGCAACATTTAAAAGGAAAATACTGTAAATGAATTTAACAACGAGCTCGTTAGAATTTAAAGAAATTATGATTTAAAAGTTATGAATAAAAATTAATTAAAATAAATATTGTAATTGCGCTACGATAACACTGATTTTTCATTCTTTACATTTTATTTTAGACTTTTTTAAAACTGCCTTTTTTCCAGGCCCATCATCATAAAGCCTGGAAAAAAGGGAACCCGCTCTAGGGGACCCTTGTTCGAATCTGGAAGGGTCAAAAAATCCCCAGGAATTTTTCGGGGGTGGTCCGTCCGGATATGTCGTGCTCCATGCTTCACCACCCGGCCGTCCAATTGTGAGCCTGGCCGAACCCATAATGGGCTTGCTAATAGACAGTGGCGTGCCGTCATTAGAAGCGGTGGAAGCGCCGCTTCACTTGTATTTTATAAAAAATAAATACATATTAATTTTAATTATATGAAAATAATCGCACAATATTTTATTATTACCGCATTATGTATCTTATTACAAATTTCTATACTACACGTGAAAAAAAATAAGATTGCTATTGTATATTCGAATATTAGTGGCGGAGTGGAATCTCTGTATTGTCAGATTCCAAAAAACCGGATTTGCGCATGCGCTTTACAGATCACCAGCCTCACCCAGTTTAGCCGGTGGAAGCCTACGATCTTGAGTTGATGCTACACATTCCAACGCTTCCAATTCTATCCGGGACCGGTTCTGGGCTGTTAGCCGCCCGCCCTCTAGGTATTTGGCCGATTACGTGAATAACGAGTAGATTTATAAGTTAACCCAACCGATAAGAATTTACTGGTATGTTTTTACGATAGTTCTGTATAGTTGACAGGAGTTAAAAAATCCATTAAAATATTTGATATATTTATTCCGCTCTCCGATTTTATATTACTCACGGATTTCAATGTTAAACCGGTGATATTACGATTTCCTATCTCCCATCTCTAAGCGGATGTAGAAAAAAACGTGTACAATTCTTGTATACTGTTAAAAAATTAACAGTTACTTCTACAGCGTCATTTACAACTAAATTTAATAAATGAGAGAGACGCACGAGGTACAGAAAAAGCTCTAGAATTTATTTTCCTTAAATTTACGATTTATGTATCCGTTTGTCATAAAAATTTGTCTTTCCACTTTTTTCTCGAGACTACAAACATTCGAGTACAAAGTAACCGGTTTCGACTTATTTCCACTTAAGTAGTAGTTAAATAATTAAGCGATTGGGGAATTGGGGACATAAACAAAACCCTGATGAAAGAGCCGGAATATTACTTAAACAAAAGCTTAACCGAATCAATCTGTTGCCGATTAGAGTGGGGACTGATTTCTTCGAAATACTGTATTAGATGTAATAAAGACAGACATTTTTCCACTTCGACGAGAGTGACCGAAAAGTTGTAAATTTTGGAAATTTCCGTGGACGACATCTGGTCCTAAAACGAATTAGTTAGAAAACAAAAGACGGACAATCTATTAAGTTAACGTATTTAGATTTTTACAGCTATGGTGAGAAACGTTTAAAATTTACAACAATCTGTCGCGTCCTTTGAGATATACTAGTGATACAACAAAAGAGTTGACGTTAACCGGTATCGGCACCCTCGGGATTTGGCACGCATGCACGCACCACACACCTGCCAAGATCGTCTCTGATTCCATCCACGAGTCACTGGTAGGGAGCACTTGTAACTAAGTGGATTGTTTTAATATTTAAAAGTAAAGAATATCTATGCTATTTTTATGTACGTTTCTTCACAAAACTATATTCATACAATCGAATATTTTGTACCAGGTATGTATAATTGTATATCGATCACACATTTTATTTTAACAAGTAAGTTTTTATAATTTTATTTTTAATTTTAGCCCTTATATTATAGCTAGCAATTTAGAATGTAATTGTGATATTGAAAATTTATTTCAAAAAGTTTTGGCTCGAGACCTTATAATGAAAAAGAAAA